TAATTTATTATATATGCCTGAGTGGGTTTTTTTGTTTGTGTGTTTTTTAAAAAAAAAGCTAAAGTGGATAAAGAGAAATGCTTTTAACTGATGGTATATGGAGGGGATTATAATCAATGTAATGAAACAACTTATATGAATTGTTGAATGTGAAACTGATGATGTGCTCTGTAAACTTTCACTCAATCCACAATAAAAACCTTAAAAAAAAAAGATTCTATACTTAGAAAATCCCAAAGACTCAACATGAGAATTACTGGAATTCATTGATAGATTTGGCAAAGTGGCAGGGTACAATATCAACATACAGAAATCATTTGGATTCCTTTACAGTAATACACAGAGCTCTGAAGATGAAACCAAGAAAACGATACCATTTATATTATAGTAGCCGCCCAAAAGATGAACAATTTGGGAATAAATAAACACCCATACAAAGAAAATTACAAAATGCTACTACAAGAAACCAAAAGAGACCTGCAGAAATGGAGGAATATACCTCCCCTTTTGTGGATAGGAAGATTTAACATTGAGAAGTTAAATCTACCTACCCAAAGCAAGGAGTCCTAGTGTGGTGCTTTAGGATAATGCACTGTACCGCATGTTCAGTGCCACTCCTCAGAAACCCTTTACAGGGCCGGTATAAGTCTGAGTCGACTCAATGGCACTTAAACAAACAACAGCAACCTAAAGCAATCTATAGATAGAGATGGAAAAATGAATCAATAACTTCATATGGAAGGAAAGAGACCCCGAATAAGCAAAGCATTATTAAAAAATAAGAAGGCAATAGGAGGTCTCTCACTTCTTGATCTCAAAACATGTAGTAGTCAAAACAACCTAGTACTGTACAAAATGAACACAGATTAATGGAACAGAATTGAGAATCCAGAAGTAAATCTATTCACCTACAGTCAATTGATCTTCAAACAAAAAGCCAGAATGCATTGAATGGGAGAAGAGATAGTATCTTAAAGCAAACGGTGCGAGCAAAACTGGAAATCCATTTAAAGAAAAATGAAACAGGACCCATATCTCACACCATATAAAAAGATTACTTAATATACTATTTCATTTTATGAAAATGAAAATCAATGAGTATTAAAGACCCACATGTAAAACCTAGAACTTAGAAAGACCATCAATAAAAAACTACAGACAAACTTAGGGTCTCTGATACATGGCATAAATACACATAAAGCATAACTCAAAGCACACAAACAGAAGACAAAGTAGATGTCTGCAACCTAATAAAAATTAGTCACTTATTTGTATCAAAGGGTTTCACCAAGAGAAGAAAAAGAAAACTTACAGACTGGGAAAAAACGTTTGACAATCAAACAAAAGACTACCCTCTAAAATTTAAAGAATACTTCAATGCCTCAACAAGAAGACAAATAATCCAATTACAAAATAGACAAAGGACATGAACAGACACCTCACCAAATGAAACATGAAGGCAGCCACCAAACATGAAGAAATGCATGTGTGATAATTAGCCATTAAAGAGATGCAAATCAAAAGAACAATGAGATATCATCACACTTCAGCATTAACAGCAAAGTTCAAAAATCAGAAAACAACAAATGCTAGCAAGAGTGTACAGAGCCTGGGACCCTCTTACACAGCAGGTGGGACTGTAAAATGGTACAATCATTATGGAAAATGGTATGACACTTTCTCAGCAAGTTGGAAACAGAAATACCGTATGAATCAGCATTCTCTCTACTTGGTATATATATCCTCAAGAAATAAGAATTGTGACACAAGTATGTATATATATATATACATACTCTTCATTACAGTACTATTCACAAAAGTAAAAAGATGGAGATAGCCTAATTACCCATCAACAAAAGAACAGGTAAACATAATTGTAGCACATATACACAATGGAATACTATGCAGCAATGAAGAATAACAACGAATCTGCCAAACAGCTCACAACATGGATGAATCTGGAGACATTATGTTGAATGAAATTAGTCAATCACAAAAGGACATATATATAAAAGATAGATGACTGCTGCAAAAAATTAAGAAAAGGTTTTCTTGATAAAGGAAACATTCTATGATTGTTATGGGGAAGGGGTTAAGAAGGGCAAATTATTCACAGGATAGAGGACAGACATATGGTAACATGGGTGATGGACCGACCAGGCAATATACAAAACAGAGGCTGACAGAGGAAAGATAAAAGTAGTGGGAGACACAGGTAGGAATGAAAGACTTAAAATGAAAAAAGGTAAATGTATGAAAGGCATTGCAATTCTTGTAACAAAGTAAAGTATATGATTTATTGAATGTAAAACTGATCATCTGCTCTGTAAATTTTACGCAATTCACAATAAAAAGTTAAAAAAAAAAAAACGCTTTGTTTCTATCATTTATACTGGATGTAGTGGCTGGGTGTCACTGAGTTGTTTCCCACTGATAGACCCTGTATAGAGTTTCCAAGGCAGCAAATCTTTAAAGGAGCAGAAAACCTCATTTTTCTCCCATGAAGGGACTAATAGATTTGAACTACTGACCTTGCAAAGTATCAAGTCAGCTTTAAATCCACTACACTACCAGGACTCCTTGTCACTTTGTAATATTCCTTTAAAAGTGCCCGGATGATGCAAATGTTTAAGTTGGCTGCTGACAGAATGGCAGTTCAAATCTACCCAGTGGCTCCATGGAGAAACACCTGGTAATGCTTGTTTGTGCCACTAAGGGACTCCTAAGGATAAAATTAGTAGCTGCTAAACAATCGTTGGAGAAGGATGTCATGCTGGGTAGGGTGGAGGGTCAGAGAAAAAGAGGAAGACCCCCAACAAGATGTATCAGCCAGGTGGCATCATTGATGGACTCAAGTGTGACAGTGGTAGTGAGGTTGGCCCAGGATCGGACATTGTTTCGTTCTGCTGTGCATGGAGTCGCTATGAGTCGGTTCCGACTCGATGGCACCTGACAACAATAATATACTTAAGGAGCTCTGGTGGTTGTGAATCGGGCTTCTATTAACATCAGGGTCAGCAGTTCAAAACTACCAACTGTTCTGCAGACGAAAGATGAGACTTTCTGCTCCCGTAAAAATTTACAGCCTCAGAAACCCTGTACAGGGTCCTTGCTATGAATAGGAATCGATTCCACGGTATATAACAACAACAACAATTATATACTTAGCTTTCCTGATTAATCTATGAGGTGGGAACTACAATTTGCCAGAATTTTGAGATGAGAAAATGTTCCTTCAATAAACCTGACTTTAAAACTAATCACATGACAAGATGAAAAAGTATGTTGCAGGCTCCTAGAGTTTCAGAAGCTTAAAAGTGTGAATGTAGGTCTGGTTACTGAGCAGCAGCAAAGAAATTAAAACGTGGAAAGATATACAGTCACTTGCAGACATCTTTCTTACTCTCCTGTCACTGCTCCTACATAAGAAGGGGAATAAAAAAGCAACTGTTGTTGTTGTTGTTGTTATGTGCCGTGGAGTCGGTTCCGACTCATAGCGACCCTGTACAGGGTTTCCGAGAGCACTAAAAAAGGTATTCTCCTATCACAAAGTGTTACATGCGAACTTCTCAGGCTAGTCACCTCACAATTCAACAAATAAAACAAACACGTGGTTACACCTCAAAAGAACATTCAGTGAAATACTACATACCTTTGGAATCAGCATTTGGGAACAGCCTGTTCCATGGCACCTTATTTTTGTGTGGAAGAGAAAGTAAATAGTTTCTAGCTTTTAAATTTATTATACAATTCAGGTCTTCTTGTGATGGGGATCCAAGAATACCTGTTAGATAAAATAATTAGCTGTTAGGTATTAAGCCAAGATAAACCTACTATACACCATTAGCAGTGACAGAATGAATCTGTGTAAGTAATGTCTTCTCACCACCTTCAAATGCTCACCACCTTCTTTAACTATTTAAATTGAGGAGTGTTCAACATTCATGCCTATCCTAGGTAAACAGTCATTAGAACGCCAGGTAAGCTGTGGGTAAGGCATACTCAACAACTCAACCCCAGAGGGCTGGGGAACCTTACCTAGAATGTGGTTCAGCTGGTCGAGATAGTGCTTTCCGGGGAAGATGGGCCTGTTGGAGAGCATCTCTGCGAGAATGCAGCCAACAGACCAGATATCAATGGATTTGGTGTAGCCCTGCAGGGAGGGAAGACCATGAATGACACAGGTGATATATGACCCAGTGAGGCTTCACTACATGATGGTCATAAAAGTTGATAAAAAACTTTAGCTTCTCCTCTGACTTTATAATTCAGAAATACACAAAGATCCCAACCAAAAGCCAAGATAATTTGATTTTACTTCTTCCTTCAAAGTTGATTATTTTATCACTTAAGTAGAATTTCTAATTCATATATATCATTCCTTTTTTCATCATTTGAGAGGAAGAACTAGAATCTTTATACATAGAAGCTAGAGAATAAAAATAAACATAGCCGGATAAAAACAACATAGCAGCACAACTAGGGAATTTGTGGCCCACTTACTCATTTTGAAAATCTGGAAGTCAACTAAAAAAATGAGCCACTTCTGTTCTTCTAGAGTATCTCTCTCTGTTTAAGGAATCATTTTTTAAAGTCAGGTCAAAAAGCTTTAATTGCTAAAAACAAACTGTATGCTGACTTCATTGTATTTTACCAATCCCTATTTTTAACACTCTTATCTTCTTTTTCTACTCATTTTTCAAATGTAATTTTCTATTTTAAAGTAATTCTATTAAAAGGCAGGGGGTAATGATCTGTCTAAATCATGTTAAGTGCCTTTGAGTCAGTTCTGACTCACAGCAACATCATATAGGATTTCAAAGGAGCACCTGGTGGGTTTGAAAAACACTGACTTTTCAGTTAGCAGTCCAGTGCTTATCCTACAGTGTCACACACCCAGACTCTTGCCTAAATCATACAACGGTGCAAAAAAGATGTTTCTCAACAGAATGTAAGTTAAAGTTTATAGTGAATGCTAGGTGTAGTGGTAAATGGAAGAAACAACGTGGAGAGTAGCTGAAGAAATTGTGTCATCAAGGTAATATATTAAAGTTTAGGGAAATATAACGACATCTTTCTGTGAAATAAAATAAGCTAATTATCATCAGTGATACTATATACAAGTGATGATAAATAGGGTTGAATTTAAAATAATTCCATAGAAAATTCATAAAATCTGAAATAATTTTTTTGCTTTGGGTGACAGTTAAGTAAATGGGATATTTCACAACTTGTAACAAAAGAAACCATTCTAAGGAACTCAGTTATTCTCCAAAGGGTGGTCTAGAGACCCCACTATATCCTTAAGGGAATCTTCATTATACAAGATGTTATCTACCTTCTTCACTCAACTTAAGTGTTGAGGGGATTTTCCCAGAGGCTACATGATGTGTGATAATATTATAAATGAGGTGTGACATTTGGAAGATCTGCATTGCTCAGTGATGTAAATGACTGGTGCCTGGTGGATTTTAGTAAAACAGGGCACAAAAGGTTCACTGATGTGGTTTCAGAAGTTCACATAACAATTAGCCTTGAAGAAATGACATCATCTCTTTGGTGTAGTATCAAGGGAGAAGAGCAGAAGTAGCCGAGTAAGACAACTAAAGTGTTCCTTTCTTTCCCAACTTCCTATCTGTGAAGACAGATGTTCATTACCTTCAATGGAAACAGAATATCCTGACAGACTGAATACAGAAGCAACTATGAGAATCCAGATGATTCTATTAAGTCAGACTGGCAAAAATGTCCCTTTTCTCAACCATGTATTTATGTATGAAAAAGGGGAAGAAATGAAAAGTATCTAATTAAAAAAATAATGGGTTTACTATTATTTTGTTAAGAGACTAAAAGGATCTTGAGGCCAGGTTTCAGAACTGCTTCCTTATACTTTTCTGCAAGTTGGAAACCCTATCATAGTAACAGATTACAACAAATGCATATGTAAGCAGTGCATCATTTTGCCACAACTAGGACCATATTTTACTACGAAACTAAAAATTTTAAATGGTGATAAGGGACAACACATTAAAAAGTTTAGTGGTCACAAGTCTCTTACAGTGGTTTTAAAAACCAAGGTGAGATAAAAAGGAAGAGCAGCTTCTAGTGTTTCTATGCCTCTTATTTCAATACAAAAGGAAGAGAAGGATGCCAGCCAATAAATATAAAAGGTACAACACAGTTAGAAAAAGCACCATTTTGTAATCCTCAGCATAATGACAGACACAGGCAAGGGTCATGGGGGGAGGGGGTAAACTACTGGGGGAAGGACTGTAAGAAAGCAGTTATTCACATCTATGGTCTCTAGGATCTGTGGCATTCTTGCTGGAACCTCATCAAAGGAAGAGGTCTAAAGAATTCAGAATGTGAACCATTCTGCGAAACAGCAAGCCACACTCTGCAGAATTCTGATGACATGGAGAAGAAGGTAGGCTGGGAGGGTGGCTCTAGGCTGGAGGGGACAAAGGGGACCCGATGGATGAGTGCAATGTATGCATCCCGATTAGACAGTGGGCTGAAAAAACATGAAACAGCTACAAAGAATGTTTTTGTGGAGAACTGGGAACATTTGAGAAATATCTTGCTAATATCACTAAGTTAGTATTGATTCTTTCTGGTATACAATCAATATGTGGCTAAGAACACCTCTTCTGTTCCCTCTTTTTAAGAGACGTCTGCCCAAAGAGTCTAGGATGAAAAAGTATTAGCTTTTGTTGGTAAAGTGTTATATGGTTTTGACAAAAAGAAAGAGATGCTCTCATGTATCTTAATTAATATTACAGTATGAGTGAATGTAAGTAAGTTAAAAAATTATGTTCATGATCTAGGAAGTATGTCAGGCCTACTTCACATCCCACTTTTGACATGTTATTCACATACTAACTACTTGCCAGAGAAAATGAAATACTAAAAATACTGAATCTCTGTCTTCATTGTAATTCTCAATGTTTGCCATATGGCTTATAAACCTAACATGATTGTCATACTTCACTTTTTTTTTTCTTTTATGAACGCTCCCTGCCCATTTCTCATAACCAAAACATAGAGCTTATTATAGCACAGTTTGTGTGCGATCTGAAGGCACTCTCTAAAGAGGGAATGGTAGTAGCAGGACTACTATGTCATATCCAAAATCTATACAGTACACTGAGCAGCTTCTGTCTTTCTATGCCTCTATTTTAATACAAACTATACTGGAATCTTGCTGAAGAGACTTTAGTCTCAAATAAAGCTGACGTGGTGACCTTAACTGAGCAGACCCAGTCCACGGTCACACTACTGGATAACCTTTAACACAAACCAAGTTTGCACCTAGGTGTGGCAGCAACACCAACTATGTGAAGTGCCATCAGTAGGACCTCAAGGATACCTGGCCAGGGAGATGAGGGGACTGGTGCAGTCAGATACCATTTGCTGTAACAATGATGAGATGCATACTCTCCAGCTCTATAAATGTCAGCACTACTGCAGTGGTGGAGGAGAGAGTGAAAACCAGTAGGTAGAATTTCACTGACAAGCAAGGAGATTCCCAGACAGCACTTTGTTGACTTAGTCCTGCCAGATGGGTCAAGCCCTGGCAGAAGTGGAAACAGAGGCTGGGCTGGGAGAGATGCTTACTGCAACACACATCTAATACGCTTCCTTGTTCTCTTTACGCGCAAACTTGGTCCTTACCTTGGAATTCAACATGATTTCTGGAGCCCTGTACCAACGTGTGGCTACATACTCTGTTAGGAAGCCCGTGTGATCATGGTCTGGGTCTGCAACACGGGCCAGGCCAAAGTCACAGATCTAAGAGAAAGAAAAAAGTGGAACACGTTTCCAAAACATAATCAAAAGGGCAATGACAACGGCAGTGAGAATAACAGGAAGTAGTTGTTACCATCACTCGACAGATGGCAGATGCTGCACGGGAACTTGGCAAACTCAGTCATCATGATTTCATCCTCACAACAGCTTGACAGGTGGCCAAGACAACCCAACGACTAGAGGAAATATTTGGAGAGGCCCCTCGCCATCTTCCATGATCTGTCAGCCCACAGTGAGGCCACCAGTTACCACCCAGGAGGGCCTCCTGCTGCTGCTCCCACATCAGTTCTCCCACAAACACCTCCTTTCTGTTTCTCAGACCTCACTTCCTTTCAGAGTCAAATCCATTCCCAAAGCTTAAAATTTGTTAGTTTATTCCCCATATACTGAAGACACACTTAAAAACATCTCCAGTTTCTTTTTTTTTTTTTAATGTTTTATTGTGAATTATATGATAGTTTACATGTTTACATGAGAGAACTTTAGTTTTACATTCATTCCATCGTGTATCATTTCATTGCCATGGTTCCAATCTCCTTCATGCATCATCAACCGACCAAAGGGTATATCCTAGAAACCCGCCCCCTCCTCTCCCCACTGACCCCCCAGTCTTCGGCCCACAGGCCCTCTCCCTCTCTGGATCCAAAGTCGCCAGCCGCTTCATCACTCCACGTCATGGTCTCTGTCTCCATCTCAGGGATCTGTGGTTCTCTGGGTAGGGTCCCACTCTCGGCTCTTCTCCGTTGATGGTCCTAGAAACCTCCGCTCCTAGACTGGAGAAATAATCGCTCCCTTCCTTGCTATAAAACGTCTACCTTTGCACTTCCGACCCTCATAATCAGTCCTGATAACCATTATTCACTACAGTATCATGAGTTACCCATCTGTATTTCATTTTATCAGCGCTGCCTAGACAGACTGGATAGTACTCACTGGAGATTCTGCCTTCCTCCATGCCCCCTAGCTCTAGGTTCCCTCTTGAAAGCCAGTCACTTCTTGCCTTTGTAGTCCCCCCCTTCCCCATTTGGGTATCCAATGTCCAAGTTGCCAATCTCTGCCCACTCTTGTGTGTGGAGGGGGTGGGAATGTTTCTTCCTGTAAGGATTTGTTCCTTCTTTTGAGTCACTGCATCCGTAGGTATAGGTCAAGTTCATCAGACTGTATCAGCTCATTCTTTTTTTTTTTTCCTCTTCTTTCTTCTCCTGGTTGAGCTCTGATCATCTAGTCATCCGGTCCAGGTCACGTGGGTACTATCTGCAAGTGTGGGTGTTCTTGTACCCCTGTCCTCTCTTCCCTTCAGCCGGTAGCTCCACTTTCCACTTGAGTCCTCTGTGGCCACACCACTAACTCTGGGCCCAAGAGTCCCCAGGTCTCCTCTCACTGCTTGCCAAGCATCCCCAACTGGGTCCACAGAAGCCCACTGAACATTGTAAGGCTTAGCTTGCCGCTTCACTGCTGCTTTTACCCTACTTCCCCCTATCGGTGATACGTGTGGTCACCATTCAGAGTTTGTATTTCCGTGGAGTCTTAGTCTTGGAAGGGGGTTTGCCTTGAGAGGACCCGACCACTTGCCTTGATGTTTCCTAGGGAAGCGATTTGCTTGTTCTTGTAGTAACAGTTCCTCTGCCTCTATTGTTTTGTATTTTTCCTGTAGGTCTTTCTTTCAAGAAGTATCTTTTGTTCTTCTAGCTGCTCCAGGCTGGTCTGCTTGTCCTTTCAAGTGGAGATTTCTCATCTCAGGAGATCTGGATGTGGTTCAGGTTTCTACCTATAGTTTTATGTATTGCAAAGGCTCCGCAAGAAGCCTTATTCCAATCAGTTATAGGCAGAAGATGAACTTACAAGCCTTCTAGTGTGATGTTTCTGACTATTCCTTTCTCTCTCCCTGCAGTGTCTACTCTGTATTATAGTGCAAGGAAAACCAAGATTCAAAAAACAGCCAAGCATCTTAACACGATTCCTCCCCCACATTCCAACCATGACTCAATCCCTGTATTTCAGAGCTCTGCTGTTCCAAGGCTGTGCATATATCGTCCTTTATCTCTGTCCCATTTGGCCCACTCAAACATGCCCAATTGTTCTCCCATCTGCCCCGTTTCTCTACTTCCCTCTCCCTCCCTGTATACTGCCTCCCTCCCCAGCACCCAAGCTCTCTTGCGTCCAATCCCCACTCTGCGCTCCACCCTCCCCCATCTCCAGTCTCTCTTGACACAAAAAAAAATGCCTACTGGTAGCCGTAGTGGCTATAAGTCAGACTGCTAACCTCAAGGTCAGGAGAAAGATGAGGCTTTGAAAGGTTTGCAGCCTCAGAAAGTATACAAGGTTGCTATGAGTCGGAACTGACTCCATGGCACACCATCATCACCAGTCTCCATCTGGCCACCCAATACTCTGCTGCTGCCATATACCAAGATTTCTGATAGACTCCAATGTATAGAAGATAAACTATATGTATTTTGTCCCATACAATTATAGAATATTATGACTCATACAATTGCAGAATGTTGTAATGGGTTGATCCCCAAGGAAATACCTCTAGAAAGAGAAAAATCATAGTAAGGCAGGGTAGAAGATAGTCTGTTTTTGTGGTGCTGTAGGATAAACACTAGACTGCTAACCACAAGGTCAGTGGTTAAAACCCACCAGTGGCTCCTTGGAAACATTATACAGGGTTGCTATGAGTTGGAACCAACTCAATGGCACTTACAACACTTTAACAACACTGCACTAAAATTCAGCTAGAAAAATGATAAGGATCTGAACATGGGACACAAAACTTCATACCCTGATTGGTTCATTGTTGTGCTGTTTTTGTTCTTCCTTTTATTGTGAATTGAGTGAAGGTTTACAGACAAGATCATCATTTTACATTAAACAAATAATATACTTTCATCTTAATGATTGCAACACCACCTCTGTGGAACAAGTCATCCACTTCCTCTGGGTGGTTCCTGTTTCCCTTCCATTCACTTTTCTATCCCTTCACACCACTATCCTTATGTACACAATGCCCCCTTGATTTTGAATGATGACCATTGCATCATTCCTAGTGTACCAATGTTGTATCATTTCCCCTATATGCCTATCTACTGCTTGGCTGAGAGAGGCTGTGTTCCTTTCCAGACCTGAACGATGGTTGAAGGCCAGAGTCTCAGGTTCCTTCAGTCTCTTTCTGACCTGTGGAGTAAGTTTAGCAAATAGCAAGGCACAGACTAGTATAGACCAAACCTCCTGGTAAAATCAAATGTTGCCACTGAATAGATTCTGACTCATGGCAAACCCACATATTACAGAAAACTAATCCCATAGGTTTTCTTGGTTGTAATCTCTATGGAAGCAGATTGGTAGGCTTTTCTTTTGTAGCACTACTGGGTAGGTTTAACTGCCAGTATTTAGGTTAATAGCTGAGGGCACACCATTTGAGCCACCCAGGGACTCCTGGTCAGTCCACTGAAAATATGCTAGCAGAACTCCAAAGAGAGCCTAGAAGCCTTGTTTCTGTGGCCCTGTGAAATAAATACAAACTCTACAGGGGAAGGTACCAGAAAAATCCTAGGCCTCAGTGCAAACATGTTTATGGCAATCAAAAAGTCAGCTTAGTGCTATCCATCTCCTGTCCATAGCAGTCACATTTAAAGGTCTCAGACACTGTGAATAACTGATATTGAAGGGTTCAACAGTAGGAAACACTCTAGCAACACAAAAGAAGCTGGGGGGAAAAAAGAAATGACAATTGCCTGATTGAAAATTCAAAAGGAGCTAATTAGCATGGGGCCCATGAGACAACCATCATTGTCAATATAACAGACTGACAAAACTTGGGTGGAAAGTCTCTTCCTTCCATTGGTGCTTTTTTACCCCTCATTCATGCACACTGAACTGCCACAATCCTGTCAAGCCTTTTGGACGGGTTCACTATGACAAACCAGCAGCACATTGTACCAGTCTCTGGAATGAGACTCTCTCCTGAAAATATACCCATGTGAATCATGCACACCACATACACACATTTCTTAATGTGAGTCAGCTGCACTCTAAATATCTAAACCACCACCCATATGCCAGTGCGTTGTACTATAGTGGTGTGACTGTTGCTGTGATGCTAGGTAGGACCTATATGCCACCAGTATTTCAAATACGAGTAAGGTAACCCTAATAGTTATCAACTGAGCTTGCAAACTATGACAGACTAGGAAGAAAGTCCTGGCAATCTACTTTCTAAAATTAGCCAACAGAAACCTATGGGTTGCAATAAAACACTGTCCAACTTTACTTGCTTTGGACAAGTCATCAGTAGGGATCAACTGCTGAAGAGGACATCACATCTGGTGAAGTAGGGGCCACTAATGGTGACCCTTGGTGAGATGGAATAGCACAATAGCTGGTCAATAATGGATTTAAATATACCAGTGATTATGAGGATGACACAGGACCAGGCAATGTTTTATTCTGTTGTACACAAGGCCATGAGTCTGAGTCAACTCCACAGCAACTATCTAAATACTTAAAATACCCTGTTCTATTTCTGACTCCATGTGTTAAAACTGAATTTTAAAAACAACGCCTGGATTATACAGATAGCTAACAACAGATAGATATCAGTGTGGATGAGAATTTTGATAGCTTAAATAACTCTAGAGAAAGTAGTTTGTTTTATTCTTAAAAGATGAAACATTTTCAAGCAGAAATGAGTTAACTTTTCCCAGATACATAAAATACTTTAAATATTCACAGAGAAAACCACACTAAAAACAAACAACTGCAATCTACAATAACAGGGTAGAGATGATAAAAAACCAAAAGGAAAAACAAAAGCATTAAGACACGCGAAAATATTTATCATTCTTTTTCCCTTCGCCACAAGAAAATGCCAAAGCAGCAGCACAGTCATCCCTAAACCCAGCTCCAATCTGCTGTATTCCTGGCTTATTGTTGCACAGATCCATGGGATAAGACTAAGACTCTTATTCTGACAGGCCAGA